GTGTCCCTGCTCCCGTGTCCCTGCCACCCTTTGTCCCCGCAGCAGCGCCGCGGCGCCCGGCTCGGCGCCTGTGTCCGCCTGGGACCGCAGAGACCCCATGGTCGGTGCTGGGGGTGCAGAGACGGGGCTGGGGATGCTGCTGGTCCCGGGGGACAGCGGTGCCGGTGGCAGCGCAGCGAGGGGCAGCTGGGCCCCGGCGGCAGCAGCAGCAGCGGCAGCAGCAGCAGCAGCAGCAGTGGTGGCTGCAGCAGCAGCAGCAGCAGTGGTGGCTGCAGCAGCAGCAGCAGCGGTGGCTGCAGCGGCAGCAGCGGCAGCAGCAGCAGCGGCGGCAGCAGCGGTGGCTGCAGCAGCAGCAGCGGCAGCGGCAGCAGCGGCAGCGGCAGCAGCGGTGGCTGCAGCGGCGGCAGCAGCAGCGGTGGTTGCAGTGGCAGCAGCAGCAGCAGCAGCAGCGGTGGCTGCAGCGGCAGCAGCAGCGGTGGTTGCAGTGGCAGCAGCGGCAGCAGCAGCGGTGGTTGCAGTGGCAGCAGCAGCGGCAGCAGCAGCGGTTGCAGCGGCAGCAGCAGCGGCGGTTGCAGCGGCAGCAGCAGCAGCAGCGGCGGTTGCAGCGGCAGCAGCAGCGGTGGCTGCAGCGGTGGCAGCGGCAGCGGTGGTTGCAGCAGCAGCAGCAGCAGCAGCGGTGGCTGCAGCAGCGGCAGCAGCGGCAGCAGCGGCAGCAGCAGCGGTGGCTGCAGCGGCAGCAGCAGCGGTGGTTGCAGCAGTGGCAGCAGCAGCAGCGGCAGCAGCGGTGGCAGCAGCGGCAGCAGCGGTGGCTGCAGCAGTGGCAGCGGTGGTTGCAGCAGCGGCAGCAGCGGCAGCAGCGGTGGCTGCAGCAGCAGCAGCAGCGGTGGTTGCAGCGGTGGCAGCGGCAGCAGCGGCAGCAGCGGTGGCTGCAGCGGCAGCAGCAGCAGTGGTTGCAGCGGCAGCAGCAGCAGCGGCAGCGGTGGCTGCAGTGGCAGCAGCGGCAGCGCCCGGTTCCCGCAGCAACTCGCCATGACGGCGGCGATGCGGCAGCGCTTCGACCGCTTCCTGCACGAGCAGAACTGCCTCACGGCGCTGCTGGCGCGCATCGAGAGCAGGACCGGCGTGAGCCGCACCTACATCGCGCTCGGTGGGTATCCGCTCGCGCCGTGCCCTGCCTGCCCGCGCGCCCTTCCCGCTAACGGCTTCTCCCTCTCCCCCTCGCAGCCGCCGTGGGCGCGCTCGCCGTCTACCTGGTGATCGGCTACGGCGCCTCGCTGCTCTGCAACCTCATCGGCTTCGTGTACCCTGCGTACATCTCGTGAGTGGCCGCGGCGGCGGCGGCGGCGGCGGCGGGGCGCGCTTGGCCGGGGGGTGCCCCGCGAGCCCTTCCACTTCCCGAGCGCTTCCACTTCCCGATTCCCGGCGGGTGGGAGCGCGGCGTGGCGGGAGGCCGCGGGGATGCGCGCGGGCCCAACACCCCTGTAGCCGAACGCGTGAAACGGAGCCCGCGCCGCTGGAGCGCGGCGCTGGCCCTTTAAATAACGGCCCGTTGATGCAGACCGCACCTTACAAATACCTGCTTTATTATTTAAAAAACACCCTGTCTGCTGCGCAGTACACAGGCTTTGCTTGTGACTCCCCTTGTGGTCTCTATTTTTCAGATATACCAAAGATTGATTTATTTTTAGACTGCTGCGATAAGATTAAAACAAGTTCTTTAACCATCTTATGATCACAGTGTTTGGAAACACACTTTTTTTTCCACCCTGAAGCTGTCATTGGTGGGCACTAATTCATAAGACTACAGGCCAAGAACAGCTCCAGAGAAACTTACATTTTAATTTTTATAAAGCAACTTACAGTTAAATTTTTTAAATTAAGATGTAAAAGTATAAGTAGCTTATCCACTTATAAAGCCTTAAAAGAGTTGCATAGGAGTTATATTTACGAAATCATTTATGATTGTGGTCTTTTTTTATATGCATATTTTATAAAATTGTATCTAAATTGTTAATTTTGTTTTCACACTTGGGCTTGGGACTATATGCTTAAATCTGCCTTTATATTATGTGATTTGCTTATGTCATTTGGTGATATGAATATACAAACGAGCACTGAGAGTAGTTGCAAACTGGCAGCTTGGTGGAATAACCAGGCAAAAGCTCTTACTGCTGGGAGGAAAAGCTAGTGTCAAATAGAAAGCAGATACTGAGTGTTCTCTTCCTTGTATATTTCTGCTCCCAAATCTGAAAAAAATGTGTTTATCTCTAAGTGACACATTTACCGCCCTATATGTAGGAAGCTGTTTTAAATCTTACTTTAAAAAGTTGCCTCTTTATGCTAGCACTGTGTTTTCCTTAGTGGTGGGTGTATGTGGCGTGGTCCTTGGCTACAAATTTTCCTTAAAAGCAATCCCAGTAATACGCACATGATTACAATGCCATTTGTGGCTTTTCCATTTGGTACCCTCCCCTTAGGTGAACCCCCAACAACCGGCCTGGCAGTGAACCCCCAGCACCCGGCCCAGCGGTGGAGCCTCCCAGGAGGGTGCCAGCAGCCAGGAGCAGGTCGCTGCTTCCCGCTTTGGTTACGGTGTGGGTCGTCGTGTCCCTTCTGTGCTGTGCTTGGCTGAGCTGCGTGGTGTGCTCACGTGCAGGCTGGAGCACGTGGAGCGGCGCCATTCCCGAGCCCTGGGGTGTTCCCGCTCTGCATCCGTGGAGGCCTGGCTGGTGCTTTGCCTTTCCTCCAGTGGAACGCAGTCCTCCAGCAATCCTAGTCTTTTATGCCACGTCATCATCAAGGGCCACCCATGAGCTCTTACATAGGCAAAATTGATTTCCCCCCCCAAGATTATCTAGCTATGTCCCAGAAAGACAATCAGGATTAAAGATTGTCATAGAGCCCATCCTAGTCCCACTATTTCTGTTCAGTGCTCTATGAAGAAACAAAGTAACTTGTCTTAAACTTTTTTTTTTATTCGTTCGCAGGCTTTGTAAAGCGAATGCTTTATATTTCTGTCTACAGTAGAGCAACATTTAAAGCTTTTCCACAAATGACAGGAGCAATTTTTTTATATGTTTACTGAGCTTTAACTGCACAAAGGAGTAGTTAGCCTGGATGGAAGAAATGAGTGGTGGCAGTTTTTAAATAGCTGCCAGTATTTTCACTGCTTCTGTAAACTTCCCGGAGGCAGCCTGTCTAAACGTAGCTCCTCCCGTTGCCGGTGGTGGTAGCAGCCACCACCAAAAGAGAAAAAAAAAAAAAGAAAAAGAGAGAGCAGGCAGGAAGGGAGGCTCTGATGACTAAGAAATGTGTGCAGAGGATTTGCTGAAGTTTCACAAGTCCTGGCACGTAAAGATTGCCAAGATGAAAATGTCTTTGGGCAATAAAAATGTTTGGACTTACTACTAACGTCTTGAGGGCTGAGAAGCAGCATAGCTTATTCTATGCTGTTACTTCAACTTAGCTGTATTTTTCTGTGTTAGTGCTGTTTTTGTCATTCTACAATAAGACTTAATCTAGACTGTGTTTGGAGATAGAAAGACGCAATTCAGGTCTTTAATTGAGTATTGTTGTGGTGTTCAGTCCCCCTTCCTACATGAGAGATGCAGCGTAGTGTGTTCGTGTTCTTGAGTAATGTTCCACTGCTGCTTTATAAAGATTATTTTAGTGAGACAATGTGGGTAAATATATTCAGAATGCTCAGTTTGAGTAAGAACAGATATGTGGCCAAGAAGGCCCATGGGCTCCTGGCTGCATCAGGAGGATGTTGGCAGCAGGTGGAGGGAGGGGATCCTGCCCCTCTGCTCAGCTCTGGGGAGGCTGCAGCTGGAGTATTGGGGGCAGTTCTGGGCTCCCCAGGACAAGAGGGACAGGGAGCTTCTCGAAAGGGTCCAGCGGAGAGCAACAAAGATGATTAAGGGAATGGAGCATCTCTTATACATGGAGAGACTGAGTGAGCTGGGCCTGTTTAGCCTGGAGAAGGGATCTGATCAATAGGTACAAATACCTGAAGGGTGAATGTAAGGAGGAAGGGGCCTCTTCTCAATGGTAGCCAGTACCAAGGGGCAATGGGTACAAGCTGAAACACAGGCAGTTCCATCTCCATGTGAGGAAGAACTTCTTCACTGTGAGGGTGCCAGAGCCCTGGCACAGGCTGCCCAGGGAGGCTGTGGAGTCTCCTTCTCTGGAGATCTTCCAAACCTGTCTGGATGCAGCCCTGTGCCCCGTGCTCTGGATGTCGCTGCTGGAGCAGGGAGGGTTGGACTTGATGATCTCTAGGGGTCCCATCCAACCTCAGCCATTCTGAGATTCTGTTTCCTAAGTTGGTTTCCTTTATACACTCTTGCTATTCAACACTCATTTTAATGAGTCTTCAAATGTTTAAGAGTAAAAGCTCTATATCTGTTGGTTAAAAGGGAAGCACGTGATTTGTGCAAAAAGCAAGTAGTCACATACTGGAGAGGGATCTAATACAAACTAGTAAGTGTAGGAAAATTATAATTGCTTTTCTATATATAAAATTTAGCTTTAAAAAATATAAAGATATTTGTGACGTTAAGTCTACAAGCGGAAGCTAATTGGAGGATTTCTAACTAATCTAGATACTGTTTTTAGGGAATGAATACCTGCTTGAGACATAATAAACACAGGCACATTACAGGACTTATTAGTCAAGACATGCTGCAGTGTTATGCTCTGTGTGGACTGCTCTTTTGGTGAAGTGATCTCTGGATGCTGGGCTGATTAGGAAGCCTACAGGTGTCTATGGAACGGTTTGACTTGCACAGCTAGGGTTTCCTGGAGTAGGGTTATAAGCTGCCTTTCCTGATGGAGAATTTCCTGAGTAGCATTGCTAATTCTAAATGCTGGAAAAGCTGAGCTGAACTCACAAATGAGGTTAGAAAAGATACTGGCTTACTGTTAGCTGCAGTTTGTATTTTCATGTTTGCTTTGGTCATGTGTTTTAGTTGCATTTTAGAGGTATTTCTCCATAGCTGTGACCCTTAAATATAGGAGAACTGGTAACATCTTCCTGTTGCAAAAGAAAGGGAACCTGCTGTTGTTGTGTATACAGTGAATGAAACACAAATTCAGGTATTTTGGGGATGGGAATACTGAGGCTGCCCTCTGCTCTTAGGAAAACAAATATTACATGAGATCTTGTGTGTGAGGGTCAGTGGACATTAGATAAAATGTAAGGTTGGAATTTAAACAGAGATGAAAATTGGTATTAGACATCTGCATCAAAAATCAGTAATAAAATCTCACTTGAATATAGTCTCCGCCATACAACGTAGCTGGGCAGAGAAAGCTAACATCTATTCTGCTTGTATCGTTAGAAGAGTGTGTCAGAGGCCCGATCCTTCTGTACTCAGTAAGCAATCATACTGTGTTTGATATCTGGCTTACACCGTAAGCAATACCATCTGTGGAGAGATGGTCCCTAAATGTGAAATACATTCTTTCTTCCAGCAATACTGTTGCAAATACAGAGGATGCCAGAAGTTTTGTGTCTCAGACTGTTAGCACGTGCCTTCCTCTCGCAGAAGTGCAGCCTGACTGTTCTGTAGTAGGAAAGTAATGTTTTTCTTTGACTGCATCCTGCTTGCCTTTCCTGCCAGCACCATGAGGGAGGACAACCTGAAAGACTTCAGCAATGCAAACAGAATTGTGCATTACCAGAACAGGTCTAGCAGAAGGTGTTGCAATCCTGCTTTGGCTGCTCATGCCGGCGCGTCCCATCGCGGAGCTGGGGGAGCCTCTCGGCATGCTGCACGCGCAGGGAGCACTGCAGAGGCCAGCAGAGATTCTCCTCCTCCTGCTAACTGAGCGTGCAGGTGCCTCTGCATGCAGGTGCCTCAGATTCACCTGCCAGGGAAGGCACACGGAGGTGGGGAGAGGAGTGGGGAGCTCACTTTTGAGCTGAAACTGGACAACTGACCTGTCGTACAGCCCTTGGAGGGCGAAGGTGAGAATAACTAGAGAGCAGGGAGGTGGCAGGACTGCTGTTCTTTCGCTGGCATCTGTCTTTGGACTGACCGAACGCCTGGTTTGTAAAGGAGTGCCCTGTGCTCCTCTTGCTAGCCCAGTTTCCCTGAACGAATGGAAGACTTTGTGCCTCTGTGGAGTTATTTGGCATTGCCTCTTGTTCACACCTGGCTCTCCATGGATTCTGTTGCTGTCCCTGCATGGGCTGCCATCCCCTGGGTACACTAGGATTATTAGTGTGGGGAGGTGACAGGCTTGTACACATGCAAATACTGCAGAGTATTTGGCAGAAAGATGTTTCCAGGATGTGGGAATGCGTGCCTCTGC